TAATGGCAACTTTCTGCCCTGTGATGCAGTGTACGCCCAGCTTCACCAGACCTATGGAAACAAAAAGGCACTAGAGTTCTACCGTAATGCAATGTACCAAAGCTTTGTGAAATCAATTCATTCTAATCTCTGCCACAGCACTTCCTTCAAATGTGCCTGTTTACTAGCACATGTTTGGTCGCCTTCAGAGATGAGGAGCTGCATGCATTGGCAGAGAAAGGATAGAGCAGAGGAAGGCTGTGGATGAACTGGAACTGCCAATTATAGGTAGTCCTCGGCTTACAACAGTTCATTTAGTGACCATTCAAAGTTGAATCTCTTTGAGCCTTTCCTTATTTCTGAGCTCTCCATCAATTCTTGAGTTGACAGCAAACTACACTGATGTAGTTTCCCCCTCTGCCCCCTCTCTTTCCAGCCACAGACTTATCTCCAGAATTCAGGTATTCCTCGAATTATTTAGTGACTGTTCAAAATTACAACGGTTCTGAAAAAAAGTGACTTATGACCGTTCTTCATACTTATGACATTGCAACATCCCCATGGTCACATGATCAAAATTCAGATGTTTGGCATCTGATTCATATTTATGATAGTTGCAGTGTCCTGGGGTCACTTGATCACCTTTGCAACATTCTGACAAACAAAATCAATGGGGAAGCCAGATTCACTTAACAACCGTGTGACTAACTTAACGATTGCAGTGATTCACTTAATCACTTTGGCCAGAAAAGTTGGAAAATGAGGCAAAATTCACTTAATAACTAACTTAACAACATAAATTTTGGGCTCAACTGTGGTTGTAGGTCAAGGATTACCTGTAGTCTTCCTTTTTTTTTTCCTGTCCAAACTAGCATACATGGGATTGATTTCTATGACTGAAATAATCCTTGGGTATCTACATTTACTGATTCCCACAACTTCCCACAAAAACCCATGAATGGTCTCAGAGCATGTGAGAAATTGAAAGAAGCGCCATGCACAGCCACCTGGTGTCCTTGGGTCACTGCTTTGAAATTTGATAAGTCTAACCAAATCCTGCATTTTACTTAAGGTCCCTTCAAAGTTTAGTGCTTGGCAGAGAGGCTTGAGACATAGAAATAATGTCTATGGAAGAGAACGAAACAGAAGCAGAGTTAGCTGAGAAGTTAGAGGGATAATGCAGAAAATACAAGAATGGTGGAAGGATCGCTTCTCAAACCTTCTATTTAGACAGGTCCCAAAAGTGCTTTTCCAGGAGGGAGCTGGACTTTCTTGTTTTCACTTCTCATCCAAGAAGCTTCTTCAGCTCTGACTGGATGATGGGGAATGGAAGGATTTATATTCTTTGCAGACAGCTGGTCATTTGCATTCTTTTAGAGGGTCATTGAGCCACTTGGAGGTTTGTCTGTGTCCTCAGGGTCACCTGAGTAGTGCAAATGTGGTAAACCTCCAAACACAGATAAACCTCCAAGTGGCCTTAACTACTGTCTAAAAGAATGCTAATGACCATATCTGCAAATAATATAAATCCTTCCATTCCCCACCATCCAGTCAGAGCTGAAAAAGCTTCTTGGATGAGAAATAAAACATTTTCAACAAAAAACAAGAAAGTCAACTTGTCTCCTGAAAAAGCACCTTTGGGACAACCAATGATGTGACTAAGAATCTCCACAGATATTTAGATAGGGTTCATCTCTTCATTCCTATTATATATATATATATATATATATATA